ATTTATCAAGATCGGTCATGGAAATCCAGCAAAGAAAGAGAAGGCGGACTGACAAGCCACACAAAACTGGTATGATTTATTTTGTTTGAGGTGCTCTATTATTTATAGTAAATGTTGACTGTTATTTACTGATGTTCTTCATTTGTCCCTTCATAGTGGCAACTGTTGACCAACCCCTGAACATACAGGAGGCATGTATTTGTTATTACTCAATTTATAAAATGCAAGCATAGGCGGAGTTTGACATTCGAGCCAGGGGGGGCAAAAAAAAAAAAAATCATTGTAGCATTCATTCATTCATTCATGTAGCAATCATTGTCGTTCGGACACAATTAGGATAAATGAAATGTGGACCACTTTTGCACTGTTAAAATATTATCTTCAACCAAAACAAAAAGATTTTTAGTTTTTCTTTTCTTTCCTTTTTTCAAAACACATTGTGGCAATGAGAGTGATTACAGTTATATTTCGCATTTTATTGTACTTCATGAAACATTTAAAACATTTTGAGACACGGGAAAAATGAACAGTCACACAATAGCCTACTCTCCACGTTTGAAACACAATTGTGGCAATGAGAGCGATAAAAAAAAAAAAAGTTATTTCGCATTTTGTTGTAGCCATTTCATGAAACATTTAAAACATTGAGACACGGGAAAAATTAACGGTCACATAGCCTACTCTCCACTTTTGAAACATATTGAACAGCATATTGAAAGCAGTGTGTTGAGTTTTTCTCCATCTTAAGCAGTTATTTGGCAGAGAAATAAAACTTACAGACCTAGATATTGCTCAGACTAGTGCAACAGTAATTTTCGTTTTTTTGCGTCCTGCGTCGATAATGGTCTCAGGTGAGAGCTTGGCCGTAATGTCGCTTTCGATGTGAAGGATCGCAAGAGAAGAAAACCTGGCTGCTCCCATCGTCAACCGCAGCCTGTTCTTTATCCTCTCATGGAGAGTCGGCCTGGCATGAATAATACAGCGGTTTTAGTCCTTTTTGGGGATCCATGTGAACGGACGTGTCTGTACGCGAAAAACACACAGGAAATTCCTCACTTACCGCGATACTTTGAGATCCGCCAGTCGTGAGAAAATTAGCTTCTTTTTCAATACAGTAATTAAAAATAATTTAGCCTTAACTTACTCATTATACCCGCAAAAATGATAAGATAAGACAAATAAAATGAGAAAATATGAATACAGTATTTTTTTTTTTTTTTCAAAGCACAAGGCAGGCATTAATTGGCTCTGGTCTGGGGGGGCAGTGCCCCCCCTAGCCCCCCCCAAACTCCGCCTATGAATGCAAGGGAATCATTATAACCACAAGAAGTTCAGATTATGTTTTGTTCATGTATAGCTTCCTCCGCTGGTCCTTCGTGAAATCTTACTGGAGGTTGTGCTTCAAGATGGTGATGTTGCAATTGGCTCCCTTGCCCTCACCTGCAGGTGCTTCAACAGCATTGTGAGCATGGAAAGTTTCCGCCGAGAGGCTCACTTTCGGTGGTTGGACAGTAAGTTTTATTAGTGTCACTGTTTGGTTAATCAGAGCTCTCTCTGTTTTTCTCAGTTATGTATGGTTGAATATTAAGACAATGATGAGGTCAGCTGACAACTTTTTTTGTAGGTGTCGTGAACTGGAAGGCATTCAGTGAAAATGTCAGAAACCTGTACAGGGTTCCATACAGTCTATCCAGATGTCTCCATTTTGATACTACATACAAAGACTGTGGCGAAGGCTACAGAGGAAGAGGGCAAAGAGGTGTGTTGCAGGGGTTCTATGGCTCTGATGACTCCCCAGGATACTGCGGAGACTGTTTCTATGTGGCTGTGGAGGAAGCATCTAATGTTTCATGCAATGTGTTCCTCATGTTTGAACTTGCCACATTTATTGCTTATTTTATTTGATTGGATTGGATGCTCTCTTTTTTACTATTACATTAAATAGAGAATGCTGCATTTATCAATACAGTTTTTCATCATATTGGTTACAGTATCTATACGGTCAATAAAGTGATGCTAATGTTTAAAGTTTTCAGAGTCATTATTCTAAGTAAACACATTTTACCTTAATTTAAAGGTCAATACGTTTTACTTTATATATCATTTAATGTAAGCTACAAATATCACTTAAATATCAGTCATTACATATAAATATATTTTGAAAAATACAGGTGAGAAAGACCAATACAATAATTTTCACCATTGCTTTACAGTAGGATTTGGTAACTTTATTGGAAATTGAATTTTTCCTTGTTAATCACCGTTACAACTTGATTTATGTTGTGTTGTTCACACACACACAAAACGAAAATAAAACTAATGTAATTATAAATAGTTGAGTAATAAAGTAATTTTTAATACTTTTACCTTTTAAGGTTTACATTTAGAGAAAAATTGCATGTAGGTAGGAGAGAATATTATAAAATATAATACACACTCACAGGCTATAACAACATTTACATATACATTGCGACAACATTTATGTCAAAATAAAATCCAGCTACCTATTTTCTTTAAAAAGGAATTCTTTCATAAACCAAATTTCCCGTTATGTTATAAGATACAGATCTTGTATAACTATCTTATGAAAGAATTCCTTTTTATATCTTATGAAAGAATTCCTTTTTAAAGAAAATAGGTAGTTGTAGCCTGTATTTTATTTTTTACATAAATCAAATGTTGTCGCGATATAGACATAATAGTAAAAATCAAGAAAAAACCCGAGAAATAATAATAACGCATTTCTGCTTCTGAAAGTGCTATAATAAAATTTCCGCTTCTGAAAGGGCTTCCGAATCCGTACGGTTATGATTGGATGGTTGGAAAATGCCTAGACCGGTTTGAAAACGCCCATTAATTGGGAAACACCTTCTTGTTGTTCCGCAGAGACCTCTATTTGGAGAAAAGAGCTGCTGCGTGACTGGATTTAATAGGGGAAACTGCGGAAACGAGAGTAAAACAAACGATGTTTGGACTCGATATAAGTGTTCCTTACAATTTAGGCCTACCAAAGATCCAGTGATCCATATTGACACGCAGCCATTGTGTTTCCTGACATTTGTGTGCCTGATTTCGACGCCGGGGAAATACGTGAAGCAAATTTGCCTGTGAACGCTTTATATAAATACAATATAGGTAGGTCTAAATCCAGGTGATCACTCATATCAATGTTATATATAGGCTATAATCATATCGTCCAGCCCTAAAACTTGTAGCCTATAGTTTTTTTTTTGTCATGACAACGCATGTGGTCATGTAAACACGGGAAACCCGTTTTCTTTTACACTGGTAACGTTAGTTTTTTGCCTCTTACTCGGATTTCGCATTATGTAAACGCATTAACCTGCTTTCTGCTTTTTTTTCTCATCTCGTGCAGCAGAAGTAGAAGTGGTTCAGTCAAAACGCTGCATCTGTAACTGCATGACATGAGAGAATATACGAGCTGTAAGCAGGGGTGCGGCCAGGGATTTTGGGCCCCATGAAAAAATAGGTACTGCTGCACCCGTTCAATTAATAAAATCGATTTATGGGGCCCCTAAAAGTGTGTGGGCCCTTAGAATCGTCCTAACTTTTCCCCCCTTAGCGGCGCCCCTGGCTGTAAGTTTCCCGCTGACATGTTGCAAGCTTTATTTAACATCAACCGACAAAACAAATGAAGTCAGATACGCAAATGATTGTTTTGTCGTCACACGGTCATGGCCTGATTTATTAATAAAGTCATGTAAACACGGTTTACTTGTGTTGTCATGGTTACTGGTTTGCATGTAAACGGGAAACTGGTTATTTCAATAAGCTGATATATGTGAGTTATCATCTTACTGGTGTGCATGTAAACGTGCTCAATGATAACTGCAAATCCACTTTTCTCTGGAGTCAAGTTGATTCTATGAATTGCATCGATCCATTTGCTTCTCTGTTCTGTAGCTTTTGGCAGTCTGTAAAAATATACCTCAGATTTCTTGTGAAATGTAGTTGTACAGTCAATCGCAAAGCTCTTTCCCATTTTAGATGTGTTTTTTGTGTTTTTCACGGCATTCACGCTGAAAACCAATGCTGCCGCTCAGTCTTTTTGCCACTCGAGTGGGCGTGACCGCAATCACTCCAGCTGACGGTGACGTCATACGCATTCCCTCTATTGGCCGCTCCACGACACGCGTTACTTCCGCATTCCAAAGTTCCTATGGCGGTCTATGGGAGTGTCGCAACTCTTGGTGTAGCCTACTGAACATGGGGCTTAAGAAAACTTTCCGTTGTCTAAGGGCTGTAGAGGGTTAATACTTTTCTTCTTGGCGTGATTTAATTTGCTCTGTGCCTTCGCTTGCTGAAACCATAATGTGTGTGTGAGAGAGAGAGAGAGCTAAACCCTTTACAGACTGTATACGGCGGAAAGACCTTTTACAGTCTATGGGAAAGACGGGAAAGTTCAATGTGTTCCATGTGGCCCAATCATAACGCTCCGTTCAAATGACATAATCGTTCAGCCCAAGATCGACAGGCGATCCATCCAATCAAATGCGCTTCCGTATGTCCTGTATTAGTTGTGACATGGTTGTGACGCAAACAGTTCACAGTTCGCAGTTGAACAAGCGTTTTCTTTTCTAGAATGGTGTAGTCGAAAAGATTTCTTTTTCTTTCTTTTTTTTAAATAAATGCAACACAATTTAGTGGGGTGAGTGTGTGTCACTGTCCACAAAACACAGACTGACAAGAGAGTAGCTCTTAAAGAGGCTGGCTAATTCAAATACGGAATTGAACCGCCTCCATAGTGCTACCTCTCGGCTTTACTTGGGGAAGCACGTTGCTAGTTAGCTTCAAGTAAAGCGTAATATTATCAACCAACCCAAATTTGCATGGGGCAGAAAATAGGCAGGACATGACTTTGGAGGCGATGTTCCTGGTTAGGGTGCCAAATTTCTTGCATTTAAGTTGAAAACCATAGCTTTACTGTTATGCTAGCTCTTTGAGTTGGACTGAAAGGCACCGGAGCCGACTATTGCAGTTCTTTTAGTTTTTATTTCCACTTCAGTTATGGAGGAAATCAGCTGTCTGGTAAGATTGTGACAGTGTTTCTTTCTATACCTTATTGTTCTGCATGTAGGCTAAGATATTTCCTATGGTACTTCTGCTGTAATCATGACATAGCTAACAGTTACTTGTTTTTAAAACTTTTTATTATTATAAAAAAAAAAAACTTAGATTAATTTCGTGATTACAGAAGCTGTATGTTCTTTCAAAAATAACAAAAGCAACAGTTGATGATGTCAGTCTACACGTTGTATTACGATTACATTTTGAACAGCTATTATAACGTATTTAATGTGTTATTTTGCGGCCCTATTGGAAGTTTGCTAAGGCCCCCCTCGTTGTACGACTACAGTGCTAGTAAACGAGACATATTTATCTTAAATTTGGCTAATTTGTCTTAAGTATACAAGACAAATTTATTATTTTCTAGACCGTAATGGTTTCACATTTGATAACGTTGCCTACACAGGTAGTACTTTTCTTAAATCAATCATTTGAATTCAGCAGAATTGGTCGGATGTCAGTAGTAGTTGTATCCTGGTATGATGATGACGTATGCTGCTCTATCGCTACGTTGTTTGTTGTTTAATCTGTCATATCGATTACGAAGCTGCTGTCAAGCGGACTGGATGCGCCTATCATCAGGTTTATTTTTCGTTTTTTTTTTGGGTTAAAGAGGTCTGCTTTTGAAACATAATAGGTGATAGGTGTGATAAATACGACGCCATCCTCTGCTCACTGTAGTCTTCCTTGTGTCTCTGTCTAATAGTCACACTAAGGTGAGAGTCTTTAGAGCTCGTCATGAAAGCTCTCGGTGCGCGCTCTGCGTTCTACGTGGGTTTTGTGGTGGGCACGTGCAGCCTGTACCTGCTCCTGACTCAAGTTGGGTTCACGCGGAACTTCGGGTCTCATAAGAACGAGGCCCACGTGAAAAGCCTGCTGGAGATGATAGAAGATGAAAACAAGAACTGGAAAAAGGAGAGGTCGGCTCTCTTCAATCTCAATCATCCGCACCATACAGGTAAATACACTGTAAAACTAATTGAGATGTTGCAAATAAAACCAATACTTTTATACTGAGCAAAACGCATGGTAGTATAATAGAAAGAATATACAGAATATAGTAGAAACTATCTACTCATACGTTGCATCTATTACTCTATATTTAATTATTAAATATTAAATTATCAATCAGATCGACTCATTTTAAAACCCTACTAACCCTTTATTTAGACTAAAAACCCTTTTTTGTTCATTTGATGAGGAACCTGTTTTGTAGCATTTGCACAGCACACCCTGTAATACGGTTGGCTATGTGCCATTGCAGGAATTTGTGTATGGACATCCTAATGTGTATCTGTGTATTTAACTGGAACATCTTAAATGGCACTGAATTAATGACATGCCTTGTACTCTCTCATTTCACCTTAACTTGCTTTTCCATTGTTTCATTGCCAACCAGAAAATGAAAATTGCTCCCAGCTTACAGACAGTCATACACTTTTTTTTATTTTTTTTTATACAAAATAAAACAGTTGTTGTAGTTATTATTGTAATAGCACAGTTCCCTGAAGAGGTGTGTTTGACTGGTAGAGCCGATGTACGCAGTACTTCGCCTTTATTATACCCTTTTATTGATATGATTTGTTGATATAGCTCCACACCCTGGTGTTACAATTTAACTAAGAGTTAACTGTTCCATTTGAGTGAAGCCCTCTTTGTGAGAAACTCTTTTTGGGCATATGTTTGTGTATTTGTGTGTTCTCCCTGGAGAGATGGACTTTGCTCTGATTTTGGGCTTGCATCTAATGTTTTGTCCTTGGTAAAGTGTAAAGAAATGGACTCTCATATGCTGACTCAAATTTTGTCAACTACTCATGCATACAATTTAAAGTAGATGACAATATTCTTTATTGAATATCAACGATATTGTTTAAACAAAACAATTTTCTTCAATTTCTTCAACATTTTTAAAACCGTTTTTCTCTTTTACTAGTTTCTAGTTTTACTTGTAGGGTTAGTTCACCCAAAAATAACATTTTGTCATAATTGCCACACCCTTGTTGTTCATGACTTTTGTTCATCCTCGAAAAATACAACTGAGCTGAAGATATTTAAATGAAACCTAAGATATTTCTGTTCCTCCATTAAAAGTGCATGCAATAAAAAATTGACACTTCTTCATAAAGTTCATAAAAACAGTGTAAACTCAGTCATCCATATGAATCGAGCAGCTTAATCCAAGTCTTCTGAAGAGACACGTGATCACTTTATATGGTGAACAGATATAATTTAGGCTATTTATTCATATTTAAGCCTAAATATTTTCATTCACATTTTATTTAGCATACACGGTTGAGCTGCAGTTTGACAAATGAATTTTTAGTATCATTAATTTGCTACTTTGTAGAATTTGATTTTCATTCATTTCGTGTATTTTTCTTGGACTGTCTCTTGTAGGTGAGGATGGCAAACTGGCCGATGGTCTCTATAAGCGTGTACGCATTCTGTGTTGGGTTATGACTGGCCCTGATAACCTTGAGAAAAAAGCTCGACACGTGAAAGCCACATGGAGTCGCCACTGCAACATTGTGGTCTTCATAAGCTCTGTGGATAACCCCGATTTTCCCACCGTTGGCCTAAACACCAAGGAAGGTCGGGATCAGCTGTACTGGAAAACCATTCGTGCTTTCCATTATGTCTTGGAGAAGCACGGGGACGAGGCAGACTGGTTCCTCAAAGCAGATGACGACACTTATGTAATCGTCGACAACCTGCGGTGGATTCTGGCCAGCCACTCTCCAGAGGACCCTGTGTATTTTGGCCGGCGGTTTAAGCCGTACGTAAAACAGGGCTACATGAGTGGCGGTGCTGGCTACGTGCTCAGCAAAGAAGCTCTGAGGAGGTTTGTGGAGGGCTTTCGCACCAAAGTGTGCACTCACACTACCTCAGTGGAGGACTTAGCTATGGGTCAGTGTTTAGAGAAGGTAGGCGTCGTGGCAGGAGACTCCCGAGACACCATACAAAGAGAGACATTCCATCCTTTCGTACCCGAGTCCCATCTCACTGGCACATTTCCCAAGACTTTCTGGTATTGGAACTACTGTTATTACCCCATTGTGCAGGTGAGTCTGAATTCAGTGAAAACATATCTTCATCTTCCAGTGAAATGACAGACTTCTCTCTGGTGATGTATGCCAGACTTCTCCAATCATTTAGTCCACTTAAACCCCACCCCTTTCTTACAATTGACAGCAAGTTCAGATCTGCCTCCATCCAATCTACTACCGATGAATATAACCAAGATCCCGACCTACTATTTTTTTTATTTTATTTTTTCATTATCGGTTTATCTTGGTTGTATGACACAATACGAAAAAAAGATCTGTCGCTACTTTACAGTGCAACTTTGTGTTTCAGATCAGTCTCTGAAGTTCCTCTTAAGATGCTGTTTATGTTGACAGGGAAGCAAAGATGATAAAATCAGTCTTCAGTCTGTCAACGTTTACATTTAATGCACCCTGAAGGTGTGATTGTCACCCTTTACATACATCCTGTTCAAATAAATGACGCAGACCTACATTGACTATGCAGTCTTTAATTCTTTGTGTCCTTGGCACAAGTGAGCGTGAGTTTGTTTAGATCATAGTCTACTGAGTAAATCTGTGCCGTCACCACATTACTTTAAGCACTGTTGCATGATTATATTAAACACAAGAAAAGACTAGCTAATAACTAATAGTTTAAAAAAACTGATTATCTAACTAACCCCAATGTTGTTTGAAAACTGAATGATTTTTTCTTTTCTTTTGTGGACTACAAAAGGAAAAAAAAATGCATTGTTTACTCAGACTGATGTCATTCCAAACTCATTTCATTTTTGTTTTTAATTTTCTTTTTCCGTTGAACACAAAAGAAGATTATTTGCGTAATATGCGCTCTTAAATGGGCTCCATTCCATTACAATGAATGGGGACCTTTTTCTAGCTTTTAAAAGGATGCAAAAGTACCACAACAGAAGTCCATTTGAATGGTGATCTATAAGTCTTCTGAGAACTGACTGAAGTCTTTATTCACTAAAAAATCTTCCAATCCAGTGGGTGGAGGTAACTGCTGCTACTTCTATTGTAAATTGCTTTGAATAAAAGCATCTGCTAAATGCATGATTGCAAGTGTAACTGAGTCAAAACTGAATCGATCTGGTTCATTATTGTCTGGACCACATTTATAATTTTATGGTGCTTTTTTCAATCATCTTGAAAGCTGCAGCCCCCATTCATTACAACTGCGTGAAAAAGAGTGATCAGTACATTGTCATTTGTGTTTCACAACTAAACAAATAAATGAATATTTATATATTCCTATATTAATTTGCATAATTCTTTCTTTATCTCTCTCAGGGTCCACAGTGTTGCTCAGACCTGGCTGTTTCTTTCCACTATATGGATGCGTCACACATGTACCTGCTGGAATACTACACTTACCACTTGCGTGCCTTTGGCTACAAATACCGCTATCAGCCCTCTGAACCCAATGTCATACAAGACTTGAATGCCCCTGTCCCAGACAAAATGGAAACTGGAGACTCGGAGCAAAAGCAGGGGGTAGAAGCACAGGAAGGAGAAAAACAATCCAATGAACTTAATGAAAAGTCTTAGCAGCTTTTTGCATAGGAAAAAAAAAAAAACATTTAAAATCTTCTAAAAGAAGTCTTTTTTTTGGGTGGCTTTACATTTTTATTTGGATGATGTCTTTAATTGTATCCTATTTTGTGCCACAGAAATGTGTGCATAACATGTTTGTGTGATTAAATGAACTGGTACTGTTTGAGAGGGTGTTCCTTTTAATAATGCATTTCTATGTGAATGTTTAAATATAACCCCAACCCTAACAGTGCATAATTGTATGAAATGAAGGTTAAGACATGTAGAGCTAGAGTTTGCGGTTCTTACGATGTGATATACATTTGGCCTATGAGCCTGCCTTAACAGTATAATTACATGGGATAAGAAAGGCTCCCTCTGCCTTTGTTATATTTGGCATTCATTTATGATTTTTTTTAATACATATATAAAAATATGAATCGTGTATTTGCTCTGCACTGTGTATTCATAAGCACACCACCATGTATGATTTAACAGCAATTTCATAAGAACCAGGGGCCTTGATATTCCTTTAATTTGCTCATTCCCTTGAATTAGTGCCTCTGCTCTGTTCCAGAGAAATCATTCATTTCCATACATTCCTGTGTTTGTATTGAGATTAGGCAATATTTAAACACAGAACAAGTTGTATTGAAGTTGTTTATATCTTGCAAACATTCGAGCTACAGTATTGTCACATATCTTTGCCAAATTTGAGTATGTACTCTACTTCCCCTAACATTATATCAATATAAACTAAAGATTAACCAGGATGTAGTCAATTGATACCCTTCTCTGGAAGTTTCTTTACGGAATACGGATTAGTACTCCATCAAGATCCTGTTGGCTGGCCCAATAGTTCGTGAGTGTGTAGGGAAAAAGTAAAGGTAGATAAGACAGCTTATGTATACACTTTATCCGTGCTAGTGGAAATTTTGGTCTTGTAGATGAATGGAGTACTGTTGCACACTGTGAAGCATGCAGGTTGTGAATTATTGGATTTTTCAGACCACATAATGCTTTATTTCATTGACTGGAGTATGACTGGATTGTCTGGATTTGCTTCACTGTACATCGCTAGTGTGGCAACTACTACAGCAGTTTGTGTGTGAGATTAAATTAGCTGATTTTACAATTGATGCAGCGGAGTGAAAATAATTCAGTTTCTTGTGATGTGTGTTTTGTCTCAATTTCTCAGTTATTTGTGTGTATTTGCTATACTTAAAGGGACAGTTCACCCAAAAATGAAAATTCTGTCATCGTTTACTCACCCTCATGTTCTCCAAAATATCGTCTTTTTTGTTCCACATAAGAAGGAAGTCATATGCCTTCGGAAAGACATCAGGCTGAGTAAATGATGACAGAATTTTTTTTTTAAACCATGCCTTTAAATGTGCTGGTGTTGTCAAACCTACCTTTTAAAATAATGCACACTAAATGTGTATTATTCACATTCACTTTCTATTCAAGTATGATAAAGGAGTTGAAGTAGAGGCTGCAATGCAGGCAGAAGACAGCAATGAAGAACACAGAGAAGAATCTTGGCCTGCACTGGCAATCATTTTGACTGTGCACTAACTGAAACTTGCCACAATTATGAAGGATTTCAAGTAAAACTTATTTGAACTGGGAATGAGTTTTATTTTGACCACTCCCAGCATCACTTTTGCATTTGTTGTAGAAATGAATGGTTTTGTTGTGAATTGATCGAGCATAAATACATTCTTGGTAAAATTATCCTTATTTTAATACCTAATGGAATTCTGGGTACATCTTAATTGTTGAGGGAATGAATGTATTTTGTTATTTTTCAGACTGGCTCAGAACCTCAACAGAACAATGAAATGCAGATCTTAAGATGAGTAGTTTTCTTTGCAGACATTATATTGTTTAAGCAAAGTGTTATGGGAAAGTGCGTTGACAAAGAAGGCCCATAGAAATTTGGGAGATGTGTAGTGGATTATATAACGAAGAGGGAACTCAACTTGTCATAAATGAATCAGAACCATTCATAGTGCTGAGATAAAAACCAGCCGAAAGATACAAATGTCCTTTCCAATCTTTTTAAAGCGAAATTGCATTTCTGAATTGATGCGTTTCATGCCCTTGTCAAAAGTATTTTGTTTATTTTCTCAGTAGGGTCTTTTATGTACAAAAGGAATCCTGTACAGCACTTTCACAGCAATCTTTAATTTATAAAAGAGTGTGTGAGGCAAATGTGTGACAAGAATAATTCAATGAGGAATGATAACCAGCATATTAAATAAAGACTTATTTTACAGTAAACAGTTTTTTCTTGTGTGGATTTTTTCTCTATGAATAAATAAAAAATAATTATTTCACCCTCGTGCATTTTACAGCACTTTAAATAAGCATATGTTAAAATGAATAAGGTATAAGCAAGAATATTTACAGTGTGGGGCTCATATATTCTTCAATCTTCTTATATCTGTCCAATCAACACAGGATTGTTTTCATCCCTTGAAAGAAAACATCCTTTATCTGATTTGAGATTACTCAGTTCAGTACTCTTAAGGGGGCTCAATGTAAGAATTATTATCCTACATAAAAACAACAACAACAAAATATACTAGAATGAATGCACTTTGACAATAAACAAAAACATCATACAGCTCAGTTATCTTAAAAGATATGTTTTCTTCGGAATGGTAAAATTCCATAGATGAGTCCTGGACAGATCAGATCAGGCTTCACACACCACAGCAAAACCTTCAAAAAAATTAAATACAATTACACAGAAATCTCTGGAAAATAACTTTTACTATGTTGATGTAGCTGTAATTCAACTCCACAATAATTAGGCCAACTCTATTACAAAACTTATAAATTCTCACCTTTGCCTTCTGTCCTTTAAGAAAATGTTGCCTCTCCTCTCTCTTCTCCAAGCAGGAATAGCTGATTAAACCAAAACAAAATATATATATATACACACACACACACACATATATATATATATATATATATATATATATATATATACACTCACCTAAAGGATTATTAGGAACACCTGTTCAATTTCTCATTAATGCAATTATCTAATCAACCAATCACATGGCAGTTGCATTTAGGGGTGTGGTCCTGGTCAAGACAATCTCCTGAAGTCCAAACTGAATGTCAGAATGGGAAAGAAAGGTGATTTAAGCAATTTTGAACGTGGCATGGTTGTTGGTGCCAGACGGGCCGGTCTGAGTATTTCACAATCTGCTCAGTTACTGGGATTTTCACGCACAACCATTTCTAGGGTTTACAAAGAATGGTGTGAAAAGGGAAAAGCATCCAGTATGCGGCAGGCCTGATGCCTGTGCCTGATGCCTATTGCCTGGTCTGATGAGTCTCGATTTCTGTTGAGACATTCAGATGGTAGAGTCAGAATTTGGCGTAAACAGAATGAGAACATGGATCCATCATGCCTTGTTACCACTGTGCAGGCTGGTGGTGGTGGTGTAATGGTGTGGGGGATGTTTTCTTGGCACACTTTAGGCCCCTTAGTGCCAATTGGGCATCGTTTAAATGCCACGGCCTACCTGAGCATTGTTTCTGACCATGTCCATCCCTTTATGGCCACCATGTACCCATCCTCTGATGGCTACTTCCAGCAGGATAATGCATCATGTCACAAAGCTCGAATCATTTCAAATTGGTTTCTTGAACATGACAATGAGTTCACTGTACTAAAATGGCCCCCACAGTCACCAGATCTCAACCCAATAGAGCATCTTTGGGATGTGGTGGAACGGGAGCTTCGTGCCCTGGATGTGCATCCCACAAATCTCCATCAACTGCAAGATGCTATCCTATCAATATGGGCCAACATTTCTAAAGAATGCTTTCAGCACCTTGTTGAATCAATGCCATGTAATTAAGGCAGTTCTGAAGGCGAAATGGGGTCAAACACAGCATTAGTATGGTGTTCCTAATAATCCTTTAGGTGAGTGTATATTCATTTACTATAATTCTCCATAGTAGCCACTAGAGGTCAGTGTATTCTCTGCACTGTTTTGTATGTCATGCAGTCACTTATTCTGCATTGTGCAAGGTTTGGTTGAGTATGGTGACATATACAGACAATAATTAATTAATGCAATCACTTATTCCCCACTCACTCTTTCGGCTAACTCATATTGACCACCATTAATTCATCTCTTACCAGACACAATGTTTCTCCGTCCCAACAGTCCAACAAAAATGTCATTCATGTTAGCTGCAAAAGGACCAAAGAAAAGCTCTCATCAGCCTCTGACATGCCACTTTAATCAATATCAGGATCACACTGAAGCAAGATAATGATGAATATGGAAACTTACGTCTAAATGTTGAAATTGTGTCACGATTTGTTCCTGTGAAATAAAAATGAATAATAAAACCAACATCAAATACCCTTGGTTTGGCTCTAGAAATCTCAATTCTGTCACTTAATCATCCTCATGTTGTTTCATTATTTTTCTGTGGAACAACATGAAGGTCAGTAAATAATGACATTTTCATTTTTGCATGAACTATTCCTAAACTTCTGAATGTTTAAAACTATTAAAAGGACATTCATCATTTCATCATTTATATAATTTAGTCGTTTTGTGTCTCACCGGCACTCCTCCTGCCCATCAGGCCAATGAAACTGTCATAATCGATATCACCATATCGTTTGTCATAGCGCTCAGACTGGGGGTCGCTGTTGTCCTGAACATAACACAAAAACAGGATGGTTCAAGAACTCAGAAAATTAATGTCTGACTCACTAATGTGAATGACTCAATAACACGAAGACTCCAAACTGTGATTATCATTACAATTCTAAAAACAACCAAAAGAAAATGGCCAGGGAACTGCTTCGAAAACTGATTTCACAAAACATTAGTGTGTGTGTGTGTGTGTGTGTACACATGACCGAACCTCCGTTTGAGCCCATATTTAACAGTCAGATATCACATTAAAGAAACCATTAAGCTTTTAATGGAATCAGGATTCATTCTAGCCACCTCTATACATTATCAAGAAACATTTATTATTATATCAATGTTTTCAGGATTATTTGATGAATAGAAAGTTCAAAAGAGCTGCATTTATCTGAAATAGAAAGCTTTTGTAACATTATGTAGGCTACTATACTGTTCAAAAGTTCGGGGTCAGTAGTTTTTTTTTTTGAAAGAATTTAATACTTTTATTCAGCAAGGATTTATTAAATTGATCAAAAGTGACAGTATAGACATTTATTATGTTGCAAAAGCTTTCTATTTCAGATAAATACTGTTCTTTTGAACTTAATATTCATCAAAGAACCCTGAAAAAAAACTGTTTTCAATATTGACAATAATAATAAATGTTTCTTGAGCAGCAAATCAGCATATTTCTGAAGGATCATGTGACACTGAAGACTGGAGTGATGATGCTGACAATTCAGCTTTGCTAGGAATAAATTACATTTTGAAATATATTTAAATAGAAAAAAGTTATTTTGAATTGTACAAATATTTCACAATCAAACTTTTGTACTGTTTTGGATAAAATAAATCCAGCATTGGTGTGTATAAGAGACTTTTTCAAAAACATTTAACAAACCCGATCTAAAACGTTTAACAAACCCGATCTAAAACGTTTAAACGGTTGTACATAGGCCTATATATAACTGTAACAGAAATTATATGTGTTCTGTTCGATTTAATTGACATTGCGGTGGAAATGTTGAAATATTTAGTAGTAGGCTATTTAGTAGCATAATATTTATGCAAAACTTTTAAGTATTGCCTACTGACTTGAGTAAAAAAAGAAGAAGTGACAACTATAGCCTCTAAATTCACTTTTTTAAATTTCATATAACAGTCCGTCTAACAAACGAACGATTTCCTTTAAAAAGAGCCGCTGATTGTACATGTAGGCTACTTACTGTGAATGATAGGTAGTCTAGCGCACAGCGCGAGAGTCCAGGACACGCGAGCAACAGAGAGAACAGCACGAGCGACCAAATGCAGGACATCCTCAGATCCGCTGCTTTTCACACACCTGCATCAAACTTTATTTAGCATATGAAATCCAAACCAATAACTTTGTCATTAATCTAAAATAATTGAATAAAACAGGAGGTGTTAATACCTTTAAAATACACTGAGATGAGTTCAGGAGGATGATGTTCAGGTTCTTCTCTCTTTAGAGCTGTGTAAAGGCTCGCAGGTGCGCGCGTTCTTTTATTTGTAGTGTTCGCGCGCTCCGCTCACACAAGCTTGGGCAAGCTGACTCTCCAATACGAACCAAATAATGATGCTAACATATCCTAGTGACGCAAAGTCATTAACACACCAGAGCCTTGACGTATTTGTGCGGTTAATTACAAAACTACCAAACTCATACCTCTAGTCTAATTCAATTTAAACCTTTGCGAATTGACTTGCGAAGAGTAGGCTATACGAGCCAATATATAATCAGACGATGGCAAATGGACATGGTTTTTTTGCTTTGTATTCTGTAACTCATTTAGAGAAGGTTTAGCAGATTTTTGACTCAGAAGGACACATGTGTGTGATTGGGGGTTCAATGTTTATTCCAGTGGGATTATGAGTCATCTATAGCCTACTGGTCATTCCATTCACTCCATCTCAGATATGTCCTTCATCAGGACAAAGCGGTCGGTAAGCTATAGAAAAGGTGATGTCTTAAGATCTGTGGGAGCCTGATTGATTAATGCTTATGACTTTCACCCTAAGCAAGGTTTATTTAACATTCAGTCTCTGAAATTGAGTGAAATATTCTTTCAAAAAAGTTATAGACATGTCAAAAACGTTTAGCAGACATTTGACATCTCTATTTAGTCTTTTTCTGTATGACAAATGATTCATATCTTTAATTTTTGTTCCATACTGTGTTTGTGAGACTGAGATGAAATCATAATTGGCATTTGCCATCAAACGCCTCAATACCAAACAGTCAGTAGTGAACTTGGTGTTGTGTTAATGAAAAAAAGGAAAACTTAATGAACAAATAAGAGAAAATTAATTTAGTCACCATGACAACAGTGGTCGGAATCACCATCTATTTCTTTCTGGAGAAAAAAAGTGACACCTCTTTCTCTCTTTCTTTCTCACAACCTCTCTCACTCTATCTCTATACTCACTCACAAACAAACACATTCTGCCTTTAGTCTTTTTACATTCAATTTGATTGACCTCAGTTTTTTTTTTTTTTTTTTGGAAAATATAAATTCATTTGCATAACGAAGCCCTGAACATTTAATTAGTTTTTCAAATTATTCTTATTTCTCTCTTTTGATTCCTCAGCAAGCAGGAAAGCTCTTGATGATACACCAACGCACTGCAGTCTTTCGGAAGCCGGATTTACTGTATACAACGGACAACGGACGTGGAGCTGGAAAACAGGACTTTGAAGTGATTAAGTCTAGTTGTTTGCATTAAGAACAAATGATTCCCTCAGTTCTTAACATTTCCATTACCATCAAAACAAGTGATTACTTTCTGATAGACTTGTCAGTGGAAGTAAGAATCATTAGTTCGCCAAAGACTAATTTGTTCCTGGATTTGTGAGAAAGTGTGCATGTGTTTGCTGAAGCAGACGTGAAGCATTAGAACAGTTCGGAAGTACACCCACACTCACTACAGTCCAGTCAGTGCTTCTCAATGGTGAATGACACCTACCATCTTTTGCTTACGCAAATAAACTCTCACAAACACGCAAGCAGAGCTTCTCTCTCATTTCCTTTCTAACAGCTTAATTTCCTTGAATTTTTAGTGTATTTCTGGTCTCATTCAGTCACTAAATGTTGATTCATATAAGTTACTTTTTATGTGAATAGCATTATCTGTCAGATTAGAATGAAAGACTGAATGAGTAGAACTTCAATGCATGTGCAGACTTTGTTCTGCCAGCTAAAAAAACCTTCACTATCGTAATCATGATCATCATTTTTCTTATAGGCCTATTATTTACTATCCAAATGTGGCATTTACACTTATTTTTGGTATAATTTATTCGTGTGCACTCTGTCTCAATGTCATTCAGCTAGGTTGCTGACAGCTTGCGTCCATCCCTCGTCCACCTACATACTCACACACAAACATACCTTTGAGTCTTTAGATCAAGGATAAAATAGTGGTTAAATGCTTCCTCTGTCCATTCAAACAACCCTTATTTTGAAAAGAAACTTTCATTTTCTGTCTCATGGTCAGTGGTCATTGAAAGTGTAAGCATTTACAGAGCATTCATCAGACTTTGTGTCCTCATTAAAAATGTAACCCAAGTGACCTAGGTTTCTGAAAACTTTGCAAAGATGATGCATCACTTTCCCTGAATCACACGCATGTAGGATGGCATAACATGCAGCAGTGAGAAAAAAAACTGAATTTCAAGGCTTTCAGTGTGAATTAATTTTTATAAATCCAAGGAATTTACCATGGTTGAACTGATTTAGGGGACTATTGAAATGAAATTTACACAAGATTTACTTACACATGGTTTGGAGTTTTATATGTGCAAAGGAGTGTTGCTCATCATTTGGTTGTTTCGGTAATAATGCACTGCCTTGTTGATGCCCCATCCTGAGGCTACTCCAGGTAATTTTGTTTAATTCAATTATATATCCAATTATAACTAAATAAGATTGCTTTCAGTCCTATCTAACACATTTTACTACCCTCTGGTGTCCATAATGACAAATGTATATCGGGGACATATCTGGCATATTTTTTTTCACACACACAAAATCACCCAAAGCCCCCTATGATAATAAGGATTTGTTAACACTTGATATAGCACTGTGTGTGATCATGACATTGTGTGTCAAATGTGACTCCCTTTGTGTTATGGGCCAATAAGTTGGCATGTGAAAATGAGAATCACACTTCTATATTTCTTCTTGTACATTACTCCTCCCACCCGTTTCTGAGTTTCTCACTTCATGAGAAATGATGCCATTGACACTGGATCCATTAGCAAATTTTAATAAGCCCCACGTAACCAGATAGCTCAGCATAATGTGTTAGTCCATGTGGGTGCAATAAAAATGTTCAAGTTCATAGGGGTTTATTATTGTCTTAAAGGAAACCTTTAACATGTATTTGTAGTCCTACAATTAAAACTGGTAAGCAATTGTTATAAATAATTGTTGGAATGAAATAACCAACAACATCAAAAGTCCAGTGAGTTTGGTGTGTTTGGGGGAATACTTGGTGGCTCATTCCCAACTCTACACCCAAATGATGTTATTTTCTTAGTGCTGACATCAGTCCGCCAAGGTCATTTCACGAGTTCCTTTGCCCGTATAATCTTTAAGCTAATAAGGTTAAGAGTATTTGGCTTGCTGTCCGCAGTGGAGGGGCTCAAGGAAGCAGCTTCAACTCAAGATGCCTAAGTTATGTGGGTGAGGCAAAACAGCTGAAGCCAGAGCAAGGTGAGCGGCTGCTTATCTGCATAAGAAAGATTAGATGTGTTCACTCCTCCGTTGTGAACTTCACTTAAGTCTATAGAAAATGTGTGTCTGGCTAAGCCTTTTGCTAAACATGCTGATACATTTGCATACGGTAATCTAAATCAGATTTTAATTCTGGTTACCCGTGGTGAGTCTGATTATTGCACCGATTATTGCACCAGAGTGGTTAATTTTACATGAGAGTAGAGCAAACAGTTCTGTTGTCTAACGTCATCCTATTCTCTGTAACAATCTTTCGTACCATGCTAAACACCCTTTCTCGTGCTAAAGTCGCAGTTACAAAACTTACAAAACGCGTGACTGTCCCCCACCCTGCTCCTCTTCAGAAAAGTAAATTCGCTATCCCATTGATCGCAGTATTTTGTACATGAGGGTTTTGTTTTTTTGGCAGGAGTGCCTTGCTCTATAGCGTCCATCATCCGTCTCTGTTTTTGTTTGTTTTTTGTTTTCCCCGCGTTGTCACTCATCATCTGACCACTAACCTCGCGACAACTGCACCTACAGTAGGCCCTACCTGTAGTTATCGCGAGGCTAGTGACAGAGTTCAGATTGGGAATGTTTTTTTTTTTACTCCGCCCGGGGTATTATTATTTTTCAATAACGCAGGTATTATTATTTTTCAATAACGCAGGTTAAAATACGGGAGATTTACGGGAAAAATCCTAATACGGGAGGACGGCGGGAAAGAAGGGTAAAATACAGGACTTTCCCGGCCAAAACGGGATACTTGACAGGTATGGAAATGTTGCAATGCCCTCTCATGGCAAGTTTTGCACTCTGAACGTCTTGGTTACTGATGTAACCCTCATTCCCTGATGGAGGGAAGGGAGACATTATGTCGACTGACAAATGGAGTCTTACTTGGGAGGCCTAATCACCTCTGAGTTTTAGAAAAACGGCCAATGGAATTGGCGAGTGGAATTTGCATGAATTTGCACTCATCCACTCATTCAGGTTTATGGTGAGGAGCCAAGACGAGGGCTCCAGCCATTTAGCTGTGTTTCAGGGTTGTGGCAAGGGGGACATAATGTCTCCGTTCCCACCATCAGGGAATGAGGGTTACATCTGTAACCAAGACGAGCAGGACAAGGCCGAGGGCCGTGAGAGAGCGGTGCGAGGCCTGTGGCATGATTAATGATGAGCAACACCTGCGCGACGCACCGGTCTCGTATCTCTCACGGAGGAGCGGAGGCATAAAGGAGAAGCAACGACAGTGAAGAGCGAGAGAGGAACAGGCCTGAATTTATGTGATATTTTGTTTCTGTTTTTTTGTGGCCAGCAGTCGTCCGTGAGGGGCTGCTGGCTTATACTTTAATTTTTGTATTTGTTTTATTTGGTTTTTAAAGTCTGTTGAATGTTCGCCAGTTCCCACCTCCTTCTTTCTGTAACAACTGAACCTCGTTACACTCTTCATCTGTCATTTACTACAACGTTATGTTGACTGACAAATGGGGTCCTAATGGAAAGCACCACAACCACTGAACTGTGTGTTACAAGTGATGGAGATGGAGCCCTTTTGGCAACTGCTCCAGTTGAGTCGTAACCTACCCAGCGCCCCATGTAAGCCCACAATGTTAGCCCTCCATGCCAACGGGATGGAAGTGACAGGGGCAGTGCTACATATGGAAAGATCACTACGGTATGTCCTGCCTAGACAGGAATGGAACTACTAGACGCAGAGACGGGGCAGAGCAATATCTGCCCAGGGAAAGACACAGGTTTACAGACAGGGAAACTGTACCATGGAAGAATACACATATGGGATTAACAAGGGTGAGTAACAACACATGGGGCATCTAGCCCAGTACAGGGGCTGACCGAGCGTGCATGCACTGGGTAATCACTGGGGAGTCAGATGCTCAGAGGAAACTCAATCCAGTGTTCTCCAAGTGGGGAACTCATCTGGAGAGCCAAGAAGGGGCTCGTATCCCCCCTTAGAGGGGAATGGTGCTGCAAGCGAGACAGCGGGCCAGCCTTCCTGCACATTACTGGTTTGTACCCAACACACATGAAGAAACCGGCTCCACCCAGAGATTGTAGAATCTCACAAAGATGTTAGGTGTCGCCCAGCCCGCAGCTCTGGAGATGTCTGCCAAAGAGGCGCTGTGCACCAATGCTCAGAAGGAGGCAACACTCAGAGTACGCCAAGGCGATGGCATCCACTATCCAGTGGACCAACCTCTGCTTGGAGACAGCCTTTCACTTCTGCTAACCTCCAAAGCAAACAAAGAGCTGCTCACAGCTTCTGAAGCTCTTCGTGCGGCCCATGTAAACTCGAACGGGACACAGCAATGCAAGGGCTGGGTCTGCCCCCTCCCGGGGCAGCACTTGCAAGTTTACCACCTGGTCCCAAAAAGGAGAGATGGGAACTTTGGGCATGTATCCAGGCTGGGTGTCAGGAACACTTGAGAAGAGGCCGGCCTGAACTCAAGGTATGATTCACTGACCGAAAGTACCTGTAGGTCCCCCACTGTCTTGGAAGTGAGTGTGGTCAGGAGGACTATCTTTAGAAACAGGATCTTAACCCTTTGACGCGTACGATCACACCGGTGTGATCAGTCTTGGCTGGTCCCTGGAGCGTACGATCACACCGGTGTGATTAGAACGGTCAGTGCATCACGTGATCAACTGCTAAATTCAAACGTGCTTTCGCGCGTTGGCTGGCGCTGAGCCAGAGACGGACGCACTCAGTGCTGTCATATATCACAACTATTGAGTATTTTAAACCACACAATGTTTATTTTAGGGTTCAGACATTTAAATACACATAAGTACTAGCAAAACAGTGATTTTGAATTAGTAAAATAGACACTGATGTCTATGGAAACGGCAACAATAATCATTTCCATTATAATAAGACGAAACGTTTTATTCATATCAGATACACATTGTGTAAGTAGCTTTACATTTGACCCTATTCTTCTCCCAGTTCACCGGCCACTTACTTTCATGTATTTCGTGAGAAACAACAGATCCGATTCTCTGAACTGTGAAACAAACTAACATGGCCCCGCCCATCGCGCATACAGCTCAACTAACGCGATCGTTATAAAGATGTTTAAACAACAAAACACATCCACTTGCACATATTTGACAATCGGAATATCAGTGTTTCATGCTGTAGCTAATACATTTGTGAATATGTTGAATAGAAAAGGAAAAAATACATAAAAGCAGATCATCACTCATTCAGCTCTGTGTTGTGATTGCGCTGTGTCACGTGACAAGAAATGACGCGTCACCATGGAAACATTAAAGTGACAGGTTCTAAATAACGGTCGCCTTGAAAAACTCACGCTGGGGGGTCAGTTAGAATATTTTAAACTTACGTGTGAAAGGGTTAAGCTCAACTGACTCAAGCAGTTTAAAAAGAGCTCTCTGCAGACCAGACCAGAGAGGACCACTGAGAGATCCCAGGAGTGGATTTAATCTCCTGGTGCCTCTCAGGAACCTGACAACCAGGATGTGCTTTCCTAGTGACTTACAGTCAACTGCATCATGTTGTGCCTCAATGGCGGGGGACAGCCTCCACTCCAACACTCCTTGCAGAAAGGAAAGCACTGAACCGATTGGGCCTCTCCGGGGGTCTTCCTCCGGGGGACTCCACTTCAAAGCATAAGGTTGCCTGGTAAGTGAGCTCTGGCTTGAGAGATAGTGTCTACCACCGCAGGTAGTTGGCCACTTTAGTCCACCTTCTCCAGTCAAGAAGCCACACGTAGAGGTTCCAGAGGTGTGGACGTGGGTGCCATATGGTGCCCCATCCCTGAGAAAGAAGGTCCTTCCTCCTGGGAATCCGCCAGGGAGGGGCTGTCGCAAGGAGCATCAAGTCCAAAAACCTAGTAGATTTGCTGGATGAAACATGTATTTGCGTAGGCCCCAGGGTCAGCTATGTGCCAACACGTCCGTGCCGAGGTGGGCCTCAGTCAGGGAGTAAAAGAGCTGGTAGTGTGAGGACTCCTGGGAGGTATACAGGTCTACCTGTGTGTCCCTGAATCAACTCCAGATCAGCTGGGCCACCTGGGGATGGAGTCTCCATTCTCTCGGGAGCGTGAGCTGTTCGTGGCTGTCAGATGAAGACATGAAACGACTGCATCCAGAAACACATGGACGGAAAGACATCTTTAAAAAGATGCTCGCTGACCGTGCTTGCTCTTTTAAGGAAATCTGCTCTTTGCGCTGAAGGGGGAATTTCATTGCACTTAACTTTGCACTGGTCTTTTAAGATGGTGAAACCCGCTGAATGTGCCTTTCCATTAGCGAGAACCATCTCCGTAGCACACTCTTTTGTTGCTTGGTGATTGGAAGAGTGCGTGCCTCCATCTTACCTGTATATATGGTGAGTGGCTCGGCATTCAAATTCCACTTGCCAGTTCCATTGGCCGTTTTTCTCAGAGGTGATTGGGGCTCCCAAGTGAGACCCCATTTGTCAGTCGACATTACGTTGTAGTGACTGACAGATGGGGAACACAACATAGCAGGGTCCAAATGTCCAACTGCATATATTGTTTTATTTTTTATTTTTCATTTAAATCCGGAAATAAACCAAATTATGCATGCAATAAGTAAATAAATAAATCTCACACTTCTGGGCCCCACTTAATACATGTAATAATCATCCAACAAAAAATGTATTTAGAAATAACTACAATCTACATGGGAGAGAGGTAAAAGCGTGTTTTTTTGTGTATTTTTCTTTTTAGCAACATTAAGTTAGCTGTAAACAGATATTGGATGTTGTATTGAATGTTGATTCAAATATGGCCTATGGTCTGAGCAGCATGTTTAAAATGACTGAACCAAGTGGAATTTTGTAAACGGGTGCACAATCCTGTTCTCTCTCACTGTCACACACACACTCACACAATCTTCCCATGCATGAAACGAGTGTTCAGCAATTTATCTGGGTCAAACACAAAGCCCCCACACCCCCACATGGTCTTCAGAGAAAAAGCAGAGCGAGAATGAGAGGAAGAGAGGGGACATGAGGGTAAATAAACAAAACGTCCACTGAACACATTGATCCTCTCCACGTGATGTCACATTCAGGGCAATTGGGCCAGCGAGAGAGAGAGAGAGAGAGAGAGAGAGAGAGAGAGAGAGAGGGGGGGTATAACGAGAGATAGGGAGATGTACATGTTTTTTGTGAAGGCTGGATTCTATCACAGAGGTACTATCGGGATTGTTAGAAGGTAAGAGTCTTATTAATCTCATATTTATATAAAGATCAATAATTCAAAAGTATATAACATTCAAATGACTTGAAATATAATTTCCTCTGTAATTTAGATAAAATGTAATAAAAAATTATAATCTTTTTCAACTAAATCTGACAGACTGCATGTTTGAGAAATGTACTTAAAATGATATGATGAAATTTATGAACAATTTTTATTTAATTAATATTCAATTTTAAACTGTTTTATAATAACATTTTACTTATTTTATTTCAATAATTTTAACGTATTTTAAATATATAAGATGTATATAGAAGATGTGTAAAAACATCAGGAAGGGAGGAGTCTTACCAAAAAAAAAAAGTGCTCATCCCGTTCCTTCCTTTCTTTTCTCCCAGCTGCACTATGACAAAGACAAGCACACAAATACCCACATATCTCATGGTCTCATGATGTAGCTACAGCTCCAGATATTTGTATAGATACACAGGTCAAAAGAATAATTTGGAATAATTAAGATTTTGAAATCTTAAAAATGGTTGCTGCAAATTCAGCTTTGCCATCACAAGAATAAATTACATTTCTAAACATATTACAATAGAAAACAGATATTTTAAATTGTTATAATATTTTACAATATTACTGTTTTTACTGTATTCAAGTAACATCAAATAAATGTAGACTTGGTGCTCATAAGACACTTCTTTAAAAAATATTAAAATAATCGCAATTGTTCCATACCTTTAAAGTGCTTCATGTACACTGCACATATGTTAAACTTCTCTTTTTTTCTTCTTCCTTTTTTTTAAATCCAGAACCGGCGATTTGCTTGGTGCTGCATGACTCCACAGTTCAACATGGCTAAATGGGGCTCAAAACTCAAATTGTTACTTCTCATCCACCTCTTACTGTCTGAAGTAGTATTTGGCAGAGCTCCACTCCCGAAAAGCAGCCTGAGGCCCTCAGTGACTTCAAAAATGTCTCAAACAGAGCAAGTAGAAACACAAGTGGTTAAAGGTGGTCTTCGCGCCGCCCATCAGTTGGTCTTAAACCTCTCAGCCTCTCTACAAGGTCAGCTGGATCTCCAAAGCAATGCAAGCTGTGCAGAGCTCGCCAATAGAGGCTGGAGAGGGAAGGGTTTCTCTCAGGAGTTATTGGGGTTGGCAATGGTGCCTGTGTTGGTGTCAGCAGGATGTTTGACTGAAGCCCAGGCTTTGGTAATGCAACTCTATGCAGTGTTGGGCCAAAATGATACATGTGAATTTTTGCAGGACGTGCTGGTGCTGATCAAGAGAGGCAAAGAGAGGGAATTAGCACACATTGGCCATCAAACCTTTACCAATGGATTCCAAACCCCGCCATCTCCTCTTATGCTCAACTCTGAGTCACAGTGCCACTTGCAGGCTGTTATATTTAACATACATCAGCTAGCTGAGGTAGGTGAGAGAGTTAATGGTTATAAGGGTAAAGTTAGGCCTATGGGGAAATGCAAGGGATGGGTGAGGGTGAAAGGCACTCAGTTACTGGGACAGGCTGCAGAACAGAGCAGGCCATTGAGTATTGAGGAAGCACAGCAGGCTTGTCGAAGCTTGGGAATTCAATGTGCAGGTGTGACCCAAGATGGAGATTCTGAATATTATCAAGTTATCTTGAGGCCTGGAAGCAGCATAGTGCCTTCATCTAACTCGGAGAGCTGGATTCAGAATTGCAAGGTGGGGTCTGTACGTTGGCGCAGAAATGGGGTCCCTCAGCATCACTGTGTCAATGAAAAAGAGGAGCGAGTGTACATGGTTGTGGAGTGGATTCCTGCAGTTTCCACACTGTATAATCTGGGAACAGCCGTTTACTATGCTTCGGTTAACTGCTATGATACTGCAAAAGAGAGAGCCATCTTCAGCACTGTGGATCTGGGCACAGATGCCCTCATGGCTGTAACCGGGGGAACTGCAGGGGTTGCTGGTTATGCGTTGGGGGCTGGTTTAAAAACGGGTGTAAAGGCAGGGATCAAATATCTGCTGAACAACATGAAAGAGGATGGCGACCTGCTAATGAACCAGAACAGCTTGGAGGATGGAAGTATCACTGTCCAATAAAAACCAATGAGGAAATTCAAGAATGGAAAACATTGCTCTGGGACTCAATGATTTTTCCACCAGCAGTAAATGATGTTTAAGAAGCTCTATTTTGTATGTGTTCAGTCGCTACTTTACAGTTCACAATATCAGTAACATAAACATAATAATGAGAGTTAAATCTCTTAATTTCTACTGAAACTAATTAACTAAAATGTAATTTATATTCAAATGCTGTTTTGCTCGTTTTAATTGGGTTTTCATATGTCCTAAATGTCACTTTCCATTTTGATTGTAATATTATTAATATCCAAAAGGTATGACATTAGCAGTAAGTAACAATTTTTTGGTGGGGAAAAAAATAACACTAGCACTTAAGCTCCTCATAGCAATGGATTTTTCTCAATTGAAAACATTCCATTCTGTTAGATAAAGTTACAGAAATCTGAATGATATTTTAATGATGTTTACCAAATGTTTTTTTTGCACATGTTTTTTTTTTTTTTCTGTAAGGAATATTATCAATATTTTAAAAGACATCCCTTTGATGCATCATGTTAAATTTCTGAGCTTGTCCAGAGCATATTTCTTAAAGTCTGGTATGCCTATTCATAGAAATAGTTTTTAAATTTAGATCGACCTCAAAAGGTTCTACATAACAGGAATGGCCAGTACTCCATTTACAACCTAACATATCATTTCTTCGTCAACATGGGTCATATTTAACTATTATAGGGCAGTTATTTAAATCAATAACATCAGTGGGAAGAGCAGAACACAAGACAAGTAGAATATAAGATACTCAGACATAGCTTAAAGTCAAGGTTTTAATTTGTTACTGTCATTTTGAATATTGTCATGACTCATGACGTGTACATGTTGTATTGTAATAATGGAGAGAATGCTGTGAGGCGCGTCATCTTTATTATAAGCAGACGCGAGTAAAAGCCAGTTGAGTTGAACCACATGCAGTCTTCTGTCATCAATATACATTACAAATATGAATATGTAACAGTTACACGTAAAATCAGTTAGAATTGGTGTAAAATGAATAAATGTAGAATACACGTATTACATCTATCCCTTGTTGATCACAAAATGCTTTCGTAAAAGAGAGTGTATGGCTTTTTAAATTTCCGCGGTACATGATCTTCCATAAAATAACTTTCATTTCGTCATTTCTCGGAATGCCAGAAGAGAGATCGTGAGTTTCGTTTCTGGTGCTGTTCTATCAACACCCTCCGTTGTGATGAATTTCATTGCCGGGTGCTTCAACCAATGGTGGCGGCCAGTGTGCCTAACCGCGCCAATGAACGAACGCGAGGGTTTCACTACGCAACTAAATGGGTGGGACCTCATGATTCAGTGAGTGGGCAAAAGTTCATCGCGTTGGAAGCAGAAATGGACAGCAGAGGGAGGTTTATAGAAAAGCCGTCCGTTTCCTGAGAAGCGCTGGAAGTGTGTTTATTTACTCGCCAGCTGATGTTCAGGTCTGTGCTGTGTTCTTGTCTTTCCTGTATGCCTGCAAAAGGCGCTTTGTAAAACTAATATTTGAGGATAATTTCTTCAAAAGTGTAGACTGTTGTTTCAGGTAAGTTATTGATAATTAACTTAGCTGCTACATGCTAATGTAACTTATTTACAATGAGCTGCTCATTACTTTGCAACATAAACATCACTATGCTTTCAAATGTCTAGGCGTAGGCTGCTATTACTGTATGTGTATAGCCTTTATCATTATTATGACGAGGTATCACGTTTTGTCCTCACATGATTAGAAACGCAGTTCTTGACTCAGTTTTTCCGCTGTTGTTTGATGAGGGGTGTGCAGGTGTTGAGCACTTTAAGTTACTGCTTGTGCAAAGTGCACGTAACGTTAATGGTTTTCACTTTTGTCCTTATAAACACGTTTACACTCTCGCTAGTTAGTTCAATTTGTCTACTAATTTAATACGTGAAATAGTCCAAATCTATTCCTGTGATGGCAAAGCTGAATTTTCAGCAGCCATTAATTCAAGTCTTCAGTGTCACATGATCCTTCAGAAATCATTCTTCTAGTATGCTGATTCTGTACTCAAGAAACATTTATTATTATTATTATCAATGTTGATTTCTTTTTAAAGTTCTGTAATTAATTGTTTAATCAAACTTATGTTATATTTCCATCAAAACAAAAGACTTTTCTAAGAATCTCTACAGTGTTTTTCATACAAGAACAATTCTTATTTGCCAAAAAAAGCACCATTAAAATGCTTTTACTGTGGACCTGAAGTGCAAATGAAATTCACAAAAAAAAAAATCAGATTCACAGCAAATCAGAAAACTCATTTGACTTCAGATAAAAAAAATTGCACATTGATAAGTCTCACCATATTTTACATTAATGCCATACACTATTATTTTGTGTTCTAACTTCCAAACTCAGAATTTGGAATTTTCTCACCTTGACTTGTATTTGAAAATAACCACTGTTAATGGTGCTTAAGCTCAAGCATCTGACTTCTAAAGATTAGAGAGAGCAGGTCAGTCCCAGTTCTGTAACAAGGCATCATTTAACCTATCAGCAGACATGAAATCTGTTTTATTTTGTAGGATGACACAGTGGGAGCGATTGCAGCAGCTGGATACAGTGTATTCGCAGAGGGCTTTTGATCTGTACAATGGAGATGAATTCCCAATGGAAGTGAGACATTTCTTGGCATCCTGGATCGAGACCCAAGACTGGTGAGTGCAAGAAGTAAAATCTGCAGTGCAGATTGTTTTTTTTATATATATATATATATATGTTTAGAATGTATTAATAACAATGGATAAAGAGATGCAAATAAACTGCATCAAGGAGCGTCAACCTGGCATTACAAGTAATGTGTGTGTCTGTGTGTCTTGCAGGGAGCGTGCTTCTCGGGACTCTTCCCAAGCTGCGTTCCTGTTTCAGGTGCTTTTGGAGAATCTGGACAACCAGTTCAGTCGTTTTGCGCAAGAGAAAGATAGTTTCCTACTGCAGCGTAATTTCAGACGCTACAAACAAAACTTTCAGGTAAGTGTACTTCTGCTGTCAAAAGCATCATTCCTGTTGCCCTCCTTGAATTTCTGAAGTCTCCAAAAAATACTAAACATGCTAAACAAAAACTATACTGATAGACTAAAGTCCTGTTCACACCAAGAAAAATAACTATAACCTCAACTACTATATGTTATCATCCACCCCAATTGACGATAATGTGACGCAAGTAAGTGCGCTGTGAGCATAATTGCAGCACACGCTTTAAAGGCACAATATGTACGATTTTTGGATTTAAAATATCCAAAAACCACTAGAACAATGTTATATTGTTGACTGGTGTACTTCCATTATCCCAGATATTTCCAATAATGTCTAAATCCGGAGAAATCAGCCATTTATTTTTAACCAGTGTAACGTCCCGTGATGTCATTGCGTCGCCTGTCAATGACGTTGTATCCACATTATCCTTGATTTACGGTTTGTTTTGGTCTTCAGTTCCTAGTAATGCCTGCTACAGACTGTGCGATTTTGACAATCCTATAAGGTCATTACAAATCGCACTACACGACATAGATCTTATAAACTTGGGTACGACATGTATGTAGACTGTAAGATGGAAGATGCTAAAACCTATTGAATCGTAGGCTACGACACAAGTTGGTATAGAAGAATAAAACGTCATCAGCATGCGCTAGTGGTAAGCAAAAAGTGCAAGATGAATCACACTTTGGCAATTGTGGTTTTTATGTGCGCTGAAAAAAGAGGATGAAGCGAAAGAGGAGAATATGGATGCGGTTAGGAAAAGAGGCCAACTTGGCATGCCAGTTTTGCAAGTGACGCTTGAGGGAAGTAGTTTTAAGTTTTAGCGCCATGTCACCACTAAATTTCTGACACTGTCAGAAACAGTCGCAGGTTATCTTTGGTCGCTAAACCTGTGAAAAAGGCCGTCTTTGAACCTCTCTCACTGTACAATGTAGGACCACGGTTTAGGAGCCACGACCACAGATATCACCACGATTGGTCATCTTTCGTCTCGGACAGCCCAAAATCGTAAAATGTGTACCACCCATAAGTTTCCCTGGCTGTTAATTAGTTTCCACACACCTGTTTCTGTTCACCTTGATTACATTCCTCATGTATTTAAGGCCTGGGTTTCATTCTGTTCCTTTGTATGGTATTGTCTATGTTAAAAGTGGTTGTCTTTACGTTTGCTCCTACAATCTCCTGAGACTGTTTTCGTTTTCGATCTTTTTTCGTGCTATTTATTACAGCCGACCGTGACACATACCATACTGAGCTAACGCACAGAGTAACATTATTATATCATGACTTTCAAGTTTCAACACACTCAAATGAATTTTTAGTATGATTGTTTTGACCTAGTAAAACAGTACTGTTACCCCACAATTTTAATACGTCAAATAAAGTGACCTGTATGAGTAGTAACTTGCAGCTGTTTCATTAGAATGAAATAAAATAATGTGAATTTAAGTGATCAAACATAACTGTAACAAAGTTCAAGTTTAGGCAAGAAGGAGGCGGATGTTAAACGTAACTTTAAACGTAAATAAACATAAACAACAAAATGAAAGTTGCAGCAGCGGCTGACTACGTCATATAAACATAATAAAAACAGCAACGTAAAATGCCCCCGGCTCTGGGCCCCGCCCTGCTTCATACCACAGTAGCGTTAATAACATTTTAATACATTAGCTCACCCATGAGCCTGATTTCTGCCTTAGTCCCGTCGGATTGCTTTCCATTGGCTGTGGAGGTGAAGACAGCAGCTCCCATGATTCCGCTCATTTATGGCGTCATCAAGCTACTCCTCAATGTTTTTATTGTTCATCAACTGGAAAAAATGGCTCTTTCAGTTATATAACTTTATTGTTGTAATTATGAGCTGTTTAGAACACAGCTGGGTTAATCAGTGACAGCTGGGGGATCATTGGTCACATTATCTTGTTTGCAGAAGTACCAAGAGGAGCCTTATACTCTTGCTGCTATTATCAACTGGTTCCTGGTGAAGGAGAAAGAGATCTTGAATGATGCAGAGCTTGCACAGCAAGTCAGTACCTTAAAGTGTTATCATCATCACTCTTATTATCAACATCAGCTTATTCTGATTCTCTCTCTCTTAATGTTTCAGGTGCAGATGTTGCAGGTTCAGCCGCCTACAATGGAGTTGGAGAGCCAGAGACAAATGGAAAAAAAAATAAAAGAACTCAAGATCAAAGTAGAGGTGTGTGTTTGTGTGTATCTGCTTGTATGTGTGTATTTGTTCAAGAACATGATTCATTTTTTTTCTTTTGGCAGGTGATGGAGCACAGCATAAGGTCTTTGGAGGAGCAGCAGGATGAGTTTGATTTTAAATTCCAAACACACAAAATGGACTGTGAGGCTCCACACTTTTAAACACACTCTCCTTGATTTCATTATCAGTGGTGGTATTAATATATGTGTGTGTGTGTGTATGTAAATGTATATGTGTGTTTAGCTTGCACAAAGGAAGAGAAGAACAAGCAAATAGAAGGGCTTCAGAAGATGCTCAATACACTCGATAAGTGCAGAAAGGTATGTGACTCGATAAGAGGCAAATTGTTAAGTGCACGTCTGTTCTAGTCTATACTATTTAGGGTTATTATTGTTAATTAAACCTAAAACTAAAAAAAACAGTTTTGTTAATTGAATTACATCTAAAATATAAATATTACATGAACCAAATGGAAATTAATGGAAACCAACTGAAACAAGGTTAAGTTGAAGCACTAAAATTCGTAACTGGAATTAAATAACTAAAACTGAAATAAAAATAAATGAAACCTAAATAGTAATCTGTAAAAAAGCATATTACAAAATTATGTTTCTTGACCCGACTTCTCTTGTATCATTGTCTCAGAACTTCCTGTCTGATATCACGGCTATGTTGGATGCTGCTGATTGTCTAAGCTCAGTGCTCATAGATGAGGAACTGGTGGACTGGAAGCGGAGACAACAGAAGTCCTGCATTGGGGCTCCTGATGATACAAGTCTGGAACAATTAGAGAAATGGTAACAGCACAAGAATTTCTCTGATTGATTGTCTGTACGAACACCATTTGGATCCGTTTTTAAGCCGTTATTGGCCTTTGACAGGTTCACTCAGATTGTAGAGTGCATGTTCCAGCTGCAGAAGTTCTTACAGAAGCTTGATGAGCTGCTTGGGAAGATGAGCTACGCAAATGACCCCATCCCAGTCCTTAAACCCCCTTTAAAGATTAGAGTTGACACTCTGCTGACTAACCTGATTAAGAGGTATACTCAAACACATACACATCATATCCATTACTCTCTCTTCATGCATGTACGCTTCATTATTTGTTGGTGTGTTGTTAGCTCATTTGTTGTAGAGACTCAGCCATCCATGCCGCAAGGACGAGGCCCCCTGGTGCTGCGCACAAGTGTCCAGTTCTCAGTCAAAGTCAGGTCAGGTTCTGACATTTCTGCAACATTACACACCACCTGTAAAACAGTGTATACCAGAATTGCTTCTATTTAAAACAATAATGATTGATATAGATGCTTTTTTGTCTTACATTGCTTGTGACAGGGCGGGGGTATATCCTTTTAAACATTATGAAATTGAGAATATGTACATTCATTTTAGTGTATTGTATTGTACATAGGACATAGTCTTGTACTTAGGAACTAAGTACTTTGCGAGGAACCAAGTACTTTTAAATATTTGTGAAAGTGACCTTCTCTCCTGCAAATGTCAGTACTGCTTTTGCATAATTGTATCTTTATTATGCATGCACAGACCTGTTTATGTAACCAAACCTTTGTTCCATTTGCATACATGTGCCTGGGGTGAATGACTCAAATACAAAGGAAATATTTCATTTAAGAATTTTATTTTTCAAATTATGACACACAACCCCAAGCAGAAATTTGTGCCCTGAATGCATTGTAAATTTGCGATAAACGAAAAAATGTTGTACAGATTCTCTTTTTTAAATAGGTTATTAATATACAGTAGTCAACATTTGAAGTGGATCAAAACAGTTAATCAAAGTTTTCCCAAGACAAGAATGGGTATTGTTCAAAATTCATGTATAACTTTGATAAAAAGGTTTTGATCCACTTCAAATGTTGACTACTTTATTTATCCTTAGAAAATATATTTGTATCATATATTCTATTTGAAATGTTTAGTTTGGGTTGTTGAGATAGAAATGCATGTCATTCTCCTCTCTACAGGTTCCTGTATAAAGTTCCTGAACTCAACCATGTTATGAAGGTGTCTGTTTCTATTGACAAGTAAGATCCCTGTCTCTCTTACTTTCTTCATTAGGTACAATCTGAGTCATATGTGAGAATGAGTTTGCTTGTAAGGTTTGTGTGGTTTGATATAGTTTTAAGTCTGTTGGTGATTAGGACTCTGAATTCTTACACTCATCCCTCTCTCCATCTTTTGTTTCAGCACTATCTCACAAATGAAAGGGTGAGTGTTTCAATACACGCATTCTGAACACACACTTCCCTCATTACGCCTCCCACCAGAAATTCATGATTATGTGTTTATCGTAGGTTTCGGAGGTTTAATGTGCTGGGCACTTCGAGTAAAGCCCTTAACATGGCTGAGAGTACGAACGGGGGCATGGTTGCTGATTTCAGACATTTGGTGAGTTGATATTAAGTGATATATTTAAGTGATATCATCTGATATATTTATACCTGGGTAGACAATTTGGTTGCGGTGTTCCGTTTTTTTAAACCAGATTTTAAATATAAAGAGGTACCGTTAATAAAAAGTTGAAGAATTGTGTTATGTGATTTTTTTTTTTATTTTTTTTTTACAGACTTTGAAAGATCAGAAAGTTGGTGGTGGAGGAAAAGGAATCAATGATGTGAGTTTAAGGAGCTTGTTAAAAATATTTTCTAGAAACTACATTGCTGCACATAGCAAACAAATCCAGCTGCTAGTAACGGAAACAAGACTGGTTTCTAGAGTCAATACAGATTAAGGGTGTTTCCACATCTGTAGACCTTTTGCTTTGTTCCAAAACACGGACCCTTAATTGTTACAATGTTGCATTTCTCCTAGGTTTAGATTTAATTTGCTTTCACATGGTGCATTTCAAAGCTTACCAAAAATGTGTTTATGCAAGTCACATGTGCATAAAACTGTTCTCTCATTGGTCAGAGTGCACCTGTTTATTATCTGGGATTCCGCTCAAAGCCATCAATATGGATTGACAAGACTGTCGTTAAACACACATAAACCAATGTATATAAGGCTTGATTCCCACTCTCACTGAGAAAACTATTTTCATATATGTTAATGAACTGAACTACGGGAGAAATTGAGTCAAAATGAGCCAGGTGTGAACACATCCTAAGAGTTACTCCTAATAAAACAAATTTGATTACAGTGCTGAAGATAATAATTCCACAAAATAGTTTATTTCCTTATTATTATTATTATTATTATTTACTAGTACCGGTAGTTAATTAAAACAAGTAGAATTGAGTGACCAACTAATAAGTAGAGTTCTGTTTGTATGTATGTGTATAAATCTTGTTGTGTGTTTCCTGCAGCTATCTCTGAGTGTGACTGAAGAACTACACAATATAAACTTTCAGACGCAGTTTGACTATCAAGGCCTGTCTGTCTCTTTGGAGGTGAGATGTCTTTTCCTCATTCAACGCATTCTCAGTGAAGTTTGAACATTCCAGAGATTTGGCTCTACAATTTCTATAACCATACTTCCTTCTTTCTTTCAGACCTCTTCTCTTCCTGTTGTGGTGATTTCAAACTCCAGTCAGCAGCAGAGCGCCTGGGCGTCTGTTCTATGGTTCAACATGCTCTGTTCAGATCCCAAGGTCAGGAGCAGGAGTTACTCTTGGATAATAATTAGCCTTAATCATCATAAAATAATCAGTTTTTTTAATTATTATTATTTGCATCACTAGAACATCAAGTTTTTTGAAGGCTCTCCTCCGGCCTCCTGGGCACAGTTTGGAGAAATGCTGAGTTGGCAGTTTCTCTCCTCTGGGAAGCGTGGTCTAGACAATGACCAGTTGGAAACTCTCGCCATCAAGCTCTTTGGTATGCACACATCAACCCCTTTCATGCATTAATAGATACTGTTATATAAAGTAATATTAAGGCCATAAAGTAATCTGGTGTTTGTTAATGATGTAATATTTCTTATCAGGTAAACAACAGAGCTATGACAACTGTACGATACCCTGGGCCAAGTTCAGTAAGGTAAGAACAGATAAACACAGTTATGTAGCTCTTTGTGAAATGCCTGATATTGACGCATGAGTGTTTTGTTTACTCATTGTTGTCTGTGTGTGTGTTTTAGGAGAACCTCCCTGATACAAACTTCACCCTGTGGGTGTGGCTGGATGGAATTCTAAACCTGGTTAAAGGCTACTTGTCAGACCTGTGGAGTGATGGGTATGAATCCTATAGATAGATTGTGAAAATCAAGTTTTCAACAGAAAGTGTGTGTTTTTTGTGTGTGTTTTTTTCAACACAAGTATGTTTGTTTCTGTAGCTCTATAATGGGCTTTGTCAGCAAGGGGAAGGAGAGAGTTTTACTGAAGAAGAAGCAGAACGGCACTTTCCTGTTGCGTTTTAGCGAAAGTATCAAAGATGGTGGAATCACGTTCAGCTGGGTGCAGTACTCTAACGATGGTAAATATGTCATAAAAAGATATACTTCTCTAAGACATCTCTGAAATCACAAAGTCCAGTGAATGTCTGACTGAATACACTACTTCTTTTTTTGTTAGGCAATCCGAGTGTGCAAACAGTGAAGCCATTTATCAGTACTGACCTGAAGCAGATTGCTTTACCTGAGATCATCTGCAACTTTCGGATCATGGTAGCAGAAAACGTTCCAGTTAACCCACTGTGTTACCTTTACCCAAACACCCCTAAAGACCAGGCCTTTGGCAAATACTACAGTGAAAAGACTGGAGGTGAATTGTTTATTCAGAATGTGGTGCATTTTTTTGCAATTCCCCAAGTCTAATTGACCGTTCGCAAAGACCCGCCCCCCTTAGTTACTGTCGCTATGTCTGACAAGCTACGCTGCTCTCGCACACACACCATGTTCTCACGCAGTGAAAAATACATCGCGGACTGACAACACGCTGACAGACAGGACAGACCAGGTTACTTTTCGGTTACTTTTGATATTAAACATATTAAACAAAGTCTCACCTTTCAAATTTGGTCATTTAAAAAAAAAAAAAAAAAATTAAACCATAAATACTGTTTTGTGGCTCTTTAACGTGTCGTGACAGATCGCTGTAGAGCATCAGTTAAAGCTGCTCGTGATCCGATCATCTCTTCCTTTTAGTTCAAATAAACATGAATGAACATAAGAAGGAATGTTGTTTTAACCGCAGAAAGGCATCAGTACATTCTGTTTTTCAAGTTCAAATCCTCCCATGTTAATCTACTAACTCTCCTGACTGCTTTGTCGGACAAAATGGCGGATGGCGAAGTATGATTGGTCAGATCACCTGTCAATCAAGCTCCCTGCGAAGGGTCAATTAAGGGAGGCATACATTGTATTTTTATGGGCATTTAGTTTGGTGTTTACCTAATGGCAACAAATGCTTCAGTTGTCTATTTACAACTTTCACTATTAGGGTCACAAAAAAAATGCAATGTATGTCAACTTAGATTTGAACTGGGAAAGGCTTTTGCTCATTTGTGTTACTTGTGATCGTTTTGTTTCAGAGGAGAATCCTTACCTGAAGTACCTGAAAACCAAACTGGTTTTTGTCTCTAAAGAGTAAGTCCTGTTTTGATTGTTTATTGGTTTATATTTGTGTGTTGTGTGCATGCAAATTATTTCAAAAGCATGTGAGGTTGTGTGCTATATAGGTAATATTTGTGACAGTGCACATGTGCTGTGTATACTATAGTGCTGGTGTTTAATACATTAGTCATATTGTATGGTGTTATGATGAGGTTTAAGTTCATATTGTGGGCTGGGTGATGTAGTGGGGGATAAAATCAGTTTTTTAGACTTTCAGTAATCTTTACTGATAAGATTTTTTTCTCATTTCAACTGAAAGGATTTCTACAAAAAATATTTTCTCATCATATCAACCAAACAGCCACTGTAAGCTAAGACTTAATACAAGTAAAATACAGTAAAAAAAAAAAAGAACCAATTGGTCTCGCACACATGCAGGCACATGATTTTAACATTCAGAGTCTTGAGGTGGTACTAGATTAGTAAAGGTGAAAATATTTCCCTTGTCCGCATTCCGCTCCGGCTCGCAGACAGTGTGTCTGTGCCGTAATTTTTGTCATCAGTACCGTCCACTGATGTCCGCGAGAGGGAGCAGAACGTGGAAAATAAAGTATATCTGGGCCTTAAGAACAAGATTTACCTTGCCATACTATCTATCACTGCCTGGGTAGAGGTTAGAATGCAGGTTACCATTCGATGTCATGATGACGTGAGGGGCGCATTGTGGCCTAACAGAATTCATAAAGTTACAACAATACCGTATTATTTGGGGAAAAGTCTACCATACATGTGATGTTATGAAGTCTATAAGCGAACAGTTATGCTGTAAGATTATGGTATGAGTTGACACTGAGATGGCTGTGCTGCTGGTTTACTGGAGTGATCTGTGCTTGGTTGCAGTAGGAACGGATGTACAAGCGTCGGAGAGGGGCCAGTGTCTGACCTGTCCCCACAGGACAGAGGTGAGTCCTGCCTCCACTGCCCCTCCGAATCTAATCAGCTCAACCTGCCTCTCACTCACTGGATTATGACCAGATGTGTCTTGATGGCAAAAGGCTTTCTGATAAATAGAATGTGTAATGAAAAGCCTTTATAGATGCTTCTCTTTCATTCAGAGGCTCAATCAAGTCCAAACACTGTTAAGATTTTCTCTTTCCTACTCTTCCCTACCCAAGTGCATTTGATTGACAATGCACAAAGGGACCTTCTGTGTGTGTGTGTGGTGGGCTGGGACTGGTTTTTCTGTTTCTATAACACAAATCTAACCATTACAGTAACACTGATTTAAAAATGTGGATGGACGCTTGAGGTTTCTTGTGTAGGGAGGGATGCACTGAAATCCATACGCTTTTTTTTTTTCACGCTATTGCCAATAACTGATAAATAGCTGATATTAAAATACTCCACTGTTTTGTAGAAATAAATTAATAATAAAACGCAAAAACTACTATGTTTATATTAGTATGAAAAATTTTGAGATTTGCTAAAGATTACATTTTAACAGTGTTAATAAATCATTATCATTTTTAAAGATTTAACTTTTTTTTTGCATGTTGCATGTTACATGAACCAAGATTGGTTAAACCAAGATTGATAATCGGCATGTATAGTTCCATGAAGAACCTTTAACATCCTTGTAACCTTTTCATCACTCAGAAAGGTTTATAAGATTATTAAAATGTTCTTCACACTAAGAAAATAAATTCTTTTAATAACTGTTCACTGAAAGCTTCTTTGGGGATCCCAAATGTTCTTCTATGGCATCACTGTGAAACCTTTATTTTAAGAGTGAAGTTTAATAGTATCATAATAAGTTGTTATTATTGTAATGCAATTATTGGGTTTATAACATGTCTCTCTTGCTGTGTCATCTGCTTCATCTTTGAAAGATCCTCCTTCTTTTTCTGAGGCGGGTGATGATGACGACATCTTGCTCCAATGGCCTGAGAAGTCTCCAATGCTCTCCAGCTCTACCATTGATCCATTTTTGCTTAACAGCATTTTGGACATTGATGGCGAGAGTACTTCTCAAGATTCATTTTCTCAACCTGCTCCTCACATTTCTTCATCATTCTTCCAACAAACCATTCTAGAGAGTGGCATGGATATCCTTAAAGAAGCACTCTCTCCAGACACTGATGTTCATCACACATTGCAAGAGTTTCTAAACTCTCAAAACGTCCTAAATAGTATGGAGCATTCTACACCAGAGGACATCATCCATTGTTTTCAAGACCTTGGCTATCCTAACATGCCACTGACCCCCTGAATTTGATTCATGACCCGTGAGGTTAGCCAAAACGTAGGTCTGTCAAGCCATATAATGTTTTCCGTAGTTCTGATTTATGTTGTAAATAAGTACCAAGTAGAGATGCAAAATACTAAGCTTATTACTTCACTTTCTTTACTGATTTCATTATTACGTCATCCAGTTAATGTGTAAATCTGTATGTCTGCTCCTCCATTTATCTGTTACTTGCGTGTCTATTCTCAGAGTAAAGCCTTTGACTAGGCATAGATGCCCATCCAAGTCCAAAACAACTTTGGAATGAGGTCATGTGATCTGACCCTAACATTCATTAGCTGCTACTAAATATTTGTCCCTATAAAAATAAGCTGGGAAAATTGTTTTATTGATAATAATTCAAATAATATCAGAGCATATTTGTCTTTGGCGAATAGTACATTTGCTTAGAGATTACAGAGTTTAATTTTTATGTAAATTTTTTTTATATATATATGTATTTCATATTTGATTCAAGTATTGATCATGCTTTTATGACCCAAGTAAATGATCACCTTTTATGCAGGTTGGAATGACAGTTTGTATTCTTCTATTCTAATTAACTGGGCCTTACTGGAGAGAGATAATTTGATAGTGAAAGCGATATACTTTATTAATGTGTCAAACACCTTTAGTAATGTGAATCAGGCAGTATGAGCTAATGTTTTAAAAAGCATCTCATGAACAGTAAAGCCATATCTGTGGTCGGATTTCTCAGTGCGGACAAAGCAGTGAAAGTTTGAAAAAGTGTAGAACGCATGAAAAATGTCTTTGCATTTTAAAAAAGAGCACTTTAAAAGAGATACAGTGCTTGGATTAAATGTTATCATTTACATTTAAAGGCACCAACGTTGACTACTATGATTGTAGTCTTTTAATAGTAAAACAAGTTTATTCTATGCTGCATTAAAAGTAATGCTTGCTTTGCACTAAATTCTACCTTTAAAATATTTCTTTGTGTAAAAACATTTCATGTAAATGATGAATGTCTAATCGCTGTTTTTGATGAACAGGATATTGCTCTAGGATTTAAGGCACTTTTTTGTTGTCTTTTATGATCCTTTTCCACTTTGTATAACCACTATTGAGACTAGAAAAGTACCCGAATGCTTGGCTTTTGATTCAAGTGACAAAAGTTAATCATTTAAGATTTCAAAAACTTTGATTAAATTATAGACCCTTACATTTTCTATTTTTTTTTTTTTGCAAGTTGAATTAAGTTAAAATGTTCTGTTACCCCAGTTGAATGCATATTTCTTTGAGCTTTATCTTGCTGGAGAAAACACTTTATATTTGTTTTTAATTTCTTTATAATATCTTTCATCTGAATTACACTGATTGTACGAGTACACTGAGAGTAATACTGTGTTGTTGATGACGGAAAAATGCAATTGAATGGAAATTTGTAAGAACGGAACGCTTCTGATTTCTTAACAAACAAAATCATTTTTTTGTGTAAAAAGGTTTACAGATAAAAGGTTCTGTATGTTCATCCAACTGAATCTGTTAGGTACCGGAGAAGATTAGACAGTGTCTGAAATCTTTTAGAGAGAAAAAATGGTCCAAATGAATTTTTTGTTTCTTTTTTTTCACTGAAATGACATACCAAGTCATAGTAATTACATCGCTTTATCATGCAGAATCGTTTAGTTACCCCATGAGTACTTCTGTCGTGAATGTATGAATGTCTTTGTTTCAAATGTATGTAACCATGTTTTACATTGTCATTGTCCAACAAAATAAACCATACTGTAGTTTGTTTTGTATCTGTGTGCCAGAAGATGCAGAAGGTGCAATGTTCTCCAATAAAACATCTAATGAGACATTGGGCTGTCATAATGTCTTTTTTTTATTGAAAACCATGACACTTTATCTGATCAGGCAAACTGTTTTATAGACTCATAATAGAGTGATGAGATATTGTGTTAACAAGTTGGCCAAAATTAGATCTGTCACATGTTCCACTGTACGCACGCATTTCGTATACACTTGCAAACTAGATTTGGAATTGATGTATTATGAGTTTTTAAACATTGAATCCACAAATAAAACAGTAACCAACTCTTGTGGGCCATTTTGAGATGATCCATGAGCATGATACCCAGTATTTTGACCTCAAATTTCTAAATTCAATTTGACCTCAGCTTTGGTGTCATTTGTGTTATGGGTCTTTATTTGTTGCAGTGTTAGGAATTTTTACAGATAGGCAGTCAGGAACACTTGTCTGGACTTGTGAAATGTATGGGTTTGTATATGTGTGTAAGTTCAGCACTAAAAAAAGAGGAAGATGACATGAGATAATAATATGAAAACACATAATAAAATAAAAATAGATAATAATAAAAAAAAAACTTTCTGTAAAAGGAGAAAAAAGCATTATTTGTTTTACGTTTGGACTTTTTAGTCTCTATTTACAGAACCACACAGGAAAGTGAGGAGAAAAGGAATGGAATCGGGACAGACTTTCCCAGACAACAACATAGTGTCGGCCCAGATCCGGCCCACATCTGGCCCACATCTAGTACAAATGTATGTTGCTGTCTGGGTTTACTTTGGGACTTTGATTAGCCAGCAGCTCATATACAGTCAAACCAAAAATTATTCAGACACCTTCAACATTTCTTACATTATCACAGTTTATTCGCTATAGTTCAGAAAATGGTAATACAATATGACAAGAACTCGGAGTTATCAAATCACTGGTTTTGGTCATCCTTCTGTTAGACTGTTTCACAAAAGAATTTGAATAGCTGTCAGCTGTTAAATTTAAGTTCACAATTAGATAATGGCAATTTAGGTCAACCAATTACCAAGAAATGCCTAATTTTGTTCAGTCTGTGTAAAGAGGTCGCATTAGCAATTAAAGAAAAAACACTTAAGCAAAACATGGTCAAGTCAAAGTGTCAGAATAATTTTTGGTCCCAAATTCTTATACATTTTACTGGTAGCCCACTGTATGAAGAATTTTGGGGTATAATATGTCACAGTTTACTTTATTTTGCTATCCTCACTTACATAAATGAACTATAGTGTCCTGCACCCACTAAGAAAAATCAAAAATGATATCTGGTGTCTGAATAATTTTTGGTTTGACTGTATGTCACAACAAGCAAGAGCGTATACGTTCTCTGCCACATAAAGCATTTTTGCTGACTTTACATTTTAATTTACTTTATTTCAAAAGAAGCAATTCAAAAAAATCAAAATAGGCTACACGAGTTATCTTTTCTGTTTTAATTGTAGAACACTGACATGATGTGCAACACATATTCAAAAATTCAACCTCTTATTTCATATGTTAGAGGTCCAGCTTACACAGTATATCAAAACAGAAACGCCACAGGAAGCAAAAGAGGACAAGAAACTCTTGTGGTTTCATATATGAGGTAATAAATGAAGCAGTGAGGCATGTCTGTTCTTGTTTTCTCCATCACCCTGCTTTAAATTTACATGTGGATTTGTGCGTGAGGTAACAAATGTTCTTTATGTCATCATGAATCATTCCTGTGGTGGTGGCACACATAGTTACTCTGCCTATGTGCAATCAGAAAAAAAGAGGAAATGAATGAGAGAAATTTTGAGCTTTTGCAGTGAAAAGCCACATGACACGTTTTCTTTCCAATCTTTGATAGAGCTGGAAAATCCCAATGCTTAAAAAAAGAAATGCTTACGGACCATGACTAGCTAAATTTTAAAGTGCAAGATATCTGACAACATAAAAAGTGATTGGAAAATAAAACGGAATATACATGAGAAAACACAGCTGTTGGAACTGAACAAAGAGAAACCTGAGAACTGTGATGTTCTCCTCAGAATAAATATCCAATGAGTGCATCTCCATATTTCATTATGCATAATACGTGAAATCACTGAACATATATAGAGCAAGATCACTTAATAGCAGTAGCTTTCAGTCATATTCAGATTGAAATTAATTGCAGTACCATTCTTCATTATCGCTTATCTGAGTGTATACCAACGGGTTCTCCATATCCAGGTTAGTGGATGTAAAGCTTTGCCAAGCAGGTCTTTGTAGGCCTGGTTAAACTGCCGGTTCATGGCTGCATACAACAACGGGTTAATGCAACTATTTAACCAAGTGAGGTTTGCACAAAACATATGAACGACCTGTGGTGCGCGATTGGCCTTATCGGCAACATTTAGCAGCAGAAATGGTGCAAAGCAGCCGACAAAACACAAAAAGACTGTGAAACACATCCGAGTCACGCGTTTAAATTCATTGTCCTCTCCTGAGTTGGCAGCTGGAGTGATCTGGATTGCTACCGGAGCTGGTTTAGAAGATGTTTCTACCCCATTTGAGGAACTTTGAATGGTACTTATGGTGTTGTTTGACTCTTGTGTGGTTGTGTGGCCTTCTTGCGCTCTGTCCTTATGCTGCTCTGCTCCTGTCCCTTCATTGCTGATCTCACAGCTTTGAGTTGTTGAGGCTCCTGCACTGATCCCGCTGTCATCTGTCGTCCCTTCGGCTTCAGCCCTCTTGCGTTTTGATGAGTGGCGACTGGGCCTGTACTTCAGGAAAGCCTTGGAGGCTACGCTCACCTTTCGGTAGATCAGAAAGTAGAAAAGACCCACGCAACCAAGGCCCAGGAAGAAGTACATGAAAAGCAGCACGGTGGTGTAGGGCCGGCCCTTAGTGCGGTGAAAACTGCAGGTGCACACTTGTGGGGCGAACACGTAGACAGGCCAAAGTGGGGCGAAACTGACCAGACCCAGTACCCAGGAGGAGATGAGGAGCACCGCCACTCCACGGTGGGACAGGAGCAGACGGGCACAGCGAGAAGTGCGATGCGCAACAACCAGGTAACGGCTCATTGCGATGAGGCATAATGTTATAATGGACACGCTGTTGGACAGGAACAGTAGGAGTCCAAACATCTGGCACCACGTGGCTCCGCCCCTCCAGTGCAGGTGCAGATATGAGTCAACACTAACAGGTTGGAGCATGGTGCAGTATAGGAGGTCAGCGAAGGCAAGATTCACTATGAGAACATTGAAACGTGTCCTCAGGTTGACATCAGTAGCAAAGGCGAGCACCGTCAGAATATTCCCTATGGTTCCTACAATGGTCACAGCCGATCCCAAGAGGACGCCAAAATAACGGTAGCCCTCTACAGAGGGCGACGCACAAGAAAAGGAATCATTTCGGAGATAATCTGTGTCGTTCCACATCCTAAAAAGAAACGAAACGTTAAGCTCATCAAATATCAATGTAACATCCACGTGGCATCAAAGCATACTTAGCGCAAACAACCTGTATACATAAGTCTTTTAGTGACCACATTTCAATTTAAGGGCTGCTGGTTTCATTATTCTTCGTGAACCTGTGACTGGAAGCCACAATTTAAGGTCACTATATATACTAGGCTACATCCTGTTGCCTAAAACACAACAGAAATCTCGCTTTTACTGCTCACATCAAAACTGCCACAATTCAACATTTGAGCTAAATGGACAACAAATGTGGAGATTTTAATCGAATGCCCTTTGATCTTAATGACACACACATTAAAATACATTTAAAAATATTTTATAAAAAATATACCCATACCGCAAGTGCCCCGAAATCACATTTACATTCACATTTAATCACATTTTAAACACAAAAAACATTCCACTGTAAGTTAAATTAATTAGGCTAGATATTACATGTAATCTCGAAGTAAAACAAATTGATAAAGTGTAATTTTATTGGTGCAAAGATTAGTCGGCTATATGGTTTTTGTACAACATTTTCAACTGCTTTGTATCACTTAATTGGAAGCACCACAATTTTAAATTGTGTCTTCTGTTACATGGGACTATATGCTGATCAGACATTTAGAAGTTTATTTTAAAATGCAAAGTATTGAAAATCAAAATAAAGCTCCGTAAAGATGTATATCTGTTAAAAGGGTAAACCTATGGAATAATTGTAATAAGAAATTAAAAGTGTGTACTTCACTCAGTAATTTCAAGAGAAAAAACAAACAAACAAGGTGATAAATAATTATATAACTCAATATGAATAATTTGTGTCTGTCATAGTAATCTGATATACACCTTTGTAATCATTTATGTAAATTTTGGACATTGTCTTATGTAACTGTTTGTTTATTTTGCATGAATCAAATCCAGAAAAGTGATACTTAT